TCTCAGAGACAGTTCCCTGTGTCTCATTTCAATGTCAAACCACCATACTAGGTTGCAAACACATGCTATAGGAAGATCAGAATAAGGAGCCTTTATGGTAATAGCCTAAGAAGCATAAAGGAAAAAATGCAAAGATTTGGGGAAGCAAACTTACTATCATCTTTTCATTTCTATATCATTATTAATGTAAAAATAAAAAAGGCTCCAAAGACAACGCTGTCAGATTTTTCTGCTAGTCAAATTCTCATTAATGAGCTGACCTTGAGATCTATCACATATCCCTATACTAGTTTTTGGATGGTATCTGTTCATTTGCAGTCAAAGCCAGCCTTAGATAGAGCCAGTGATCTTACTAAAATTATGGAGTGACAAATTGTATATAGAAAATTACTGCCCAGAGCACACATTTGTAAAGCATTGGTTTGTCAATTTCCCTCCTTCCTCCTCCAATCAAATATTTTTAACAACAAAAAATGAAAAACAACATGCAATCTTTGAAACCAATACAGTAATTAGATAATTTCAGAATACGGAAATGAGACATCTCTTTTCATCAATTAGAAGCACTCTAACTGTTCAGACATTAAAAGAAAAATGGAAATTAAATGAAGTTGTCAGCCAAAGGATCTAAGGAAGCGATGGAACTATTCACAGAAAGGGCTTCAGAAAAGGAAAGAAGTAACATTATCACATAATATTGTGTTGACATGTGAAATGAGGAGTGTTACATGAGAATAAGAAACACAAATGGACACCTAAAGTTTTATCCAACTAGATCCTCACTTAGGAAGTTTAAATTGGTTTAAATTCTGGGAACTAACATATACAGTGGTTCAAATGCTGAAAACTATCAAATGGAATAAATCTGCACTGTAACTACCTATCAAAAAAGGAAGTACATTAAAACAGATTTTAATTTAAAAAGTTATGTTATCTAAAAACTTTGTGTCAATAATAGGCAAAGGTTGATACAAAAACACATCTTTGTATATATATTTTTTGTTCTTTGATCCCTTAATTCTTCTGTTCAACTGGAGCAAACCTTTCAATCTACATAAAAGTTTAGCCTACATGTTGGATGCTGCAGTAGATACAGTAGTTTTTGTCTTCTTGTGTAATATAGAGCCTGTGCAAAACATAGAACATTAAAATGTAGTTAGCAGGGATCATAACTATACTCTTTTTTAAAAAAAACAGTTTTGTTCTAAGTATAATTTTGGAACAATGAACAGTAATAGTACATTTTCTATTACTGAGTCTTTCACTTTGTCAGGAAATTGTTTCCCTACCTGTAATAGATCAGGGCTTTCCTTCTTCCAAATGTTAGTGTATAGAAAAAGGATTTTAAAATGAAGGCTGTGAAAATAAAGACCTTGTTTCTGAATGAGGGGAAAGTACAGTATGATATTTTTAAAATCCCCCCTCCTATCTACGTAATAATAATAATTATTGTTATTATTATTATTTCCCTTTCTGAATACCAAGGCTTCCATCAGGCCTGAACTTTGATATCTGCCCCTTGGCTGAGAATCTATATATCCAACTTCACACTTAGCTGCAGTGAAGTAGCCCTCTAGGCAGGCCGACTTCAACGAACCACTAGTGGTATCATCATTAAAATCCTGCTGAAGGTCACCATGGCAACCGCCTGCTGAGGCTTCACTGCTGCACGCAGCATCTCCTAATCAGCTACCATGTGAAATGCAAATTCAGACAGTCTGAAAATTAGTCAAGAAGAATAGAGGATGAGGATGCAGATACGTGAAATATTCATGCGCTTCGTGGAAAAAGGAAGACAGCATGAATGACACAACAAAGAACGGCCCCTGACATTTTTGCTATCATTTTGCATTATTGTTCACACCCTACTGTATTTCTAGGCCTCCGGTTCTGAAATTGCCTATATGAAATGCCATATTTATATTCTGCACAATTCTCTTAATTAAAAATGGCCACTGGAAAAAAAACAGTTAATTGGAAAAGCTACATTAAGTCAATATTGTACACACCAGCAAAGACCATCACATTCACTTCATCATCTACCTAGTCATCTTTAAAAGGATACAGAGAATTTCATAGTCAAATTCTCCATGTAATAAAAGTGCAAATATTATACAATGATTTTAATGAGACCCATACTTCATGGACCACAGTTTTTAATTAATAATTAAAATCTTTAAAAGCAATGAGATTTGGGGGTTTGGAATTATATTATTCCCCAATTCCGTAAAGACAGTGAATTTTTCTGTTTACAAAATATGAGAATTTTATATGCATTTCCTACACAGTGTAATTTACTGTTTCTGCTACTTTTCTGTGTCCTAAATTTCAAAACAATATGTCCATATATGGTAAAGGAAACACACACACACACACACACACACACACACACACAGAGTCATCTATGTATTAGTTACAATAGACATTAACACATCCATCCCTTAGCAGAAATATTAAGTCTTTCTTTGCTGTGTGTAAAGTATTAAAGTTTTTATCCTATGCCTTTCAGGCCATAACTGTTCCTCGCCAGGGTACTGCAAAATTGCTAGAGAAGGAATGTACAGTATACATTGGCGCCCATTTTGTTGCAGCATGTTGTGGTAGTTCTATGTACATCTCTGAATGCATACACAGAAAACAGAATAGTAAACATTAATAGTATACATAAGTCCATGAAGAGGTATATCATGTTGGAAATATGCCTTGCATTTGGAATACACTTTGTGATATAAAAATGTTTCCAAGGGATTTTTTTTTGTATGTCTGCTTTTTGTGGGTCAGGGCATCACACATGCTGCAAAATTGTTATTACAGCTACACAAGGCATTTCAAAAGGTTGGTTTGCAGAACCTTAAAACAGCCAATGTGTTTCAAAACAGTCAGTATCTTCAATTGTCTTCCCATGCCTCTGCGTGCACAGCCATACTGCTTTGTTCATTTTCCCACTGAGACAACCAAGGTAAGTCTTTGAAACAGCCATGCTGAGCTTTTCAGATGACACAGTTGCTTTAATGCTTCAAGACATTTTTGCTTGCAACAATGCACTTAACGGTGTTCATAAAGCACCCCTCTCAAATACTATGCACAGTTCTAGTCATTACTCCTGAAGAGAGCGTAACTACTTTTTCATCACATCCATGTAGGCACTTAGATCACAGTAAACTGAGGGAAGAGTTTCATTCTTTCACAATGTTTTCAAAAGGATAAATAAGAACACCACAGGATATATCATTCAGAAGATATTCTATATTGCTGAAAATCAGAAATTCATGTTGTTCACTGTGGTGTAACCAATCTAAGCAAAGAGGATTTCAGGGTTAACTGCGCTCAGTTTAAGCAATTTTCCCCTTATAGCTTGAATTTTAATGCCTTGCAAAGAGTTGCAACTATAAAGAAAGCACAAGATATAAAAAGTACTATGTAGAACATTAAAGTCGTGGCCCATTTAAGGTTCCCACTTGCAGCCATATTTAAGCAGCAGGCAATTTAAAAAAAATGAAAGTTCAGCTTCCAGGAAGAAACCAAGTCCTCTCACACTGAAATTAATGAGAGTTGTGCAAGAACAACTCAGCTGTGGAAAACTGCATACCAGATCCCAGGAGAAATAGGATGCTTTTAAAAAGTGAAGCAAGTTCAAACAGCCCACCAAAAAGGAAGTTACTTACTTCTTCTGAGTAGTGGTCTGACGGAAGGGGTGGATAATCACATTGTTCTATCTTTTTACATAAAGAATACAAGTTCATTTTGTCACCATAGAAGGGGCTTTGCAATGCAGCCATCTGTATGGAGTAATAAAAATAGGATATACTTTTAACTGGTGTGGCAGAGAAGACTCAAATACAGAAACTTGACTTTTTTTAAAAAAAATCCCAGTTTAAATTAGAGACAAATACTTATTTTCTCTCTATGCTATTGGTTTGAGTCCTTTACTTCTCACATCTGACTTTCAGAATATTGGATTAGATTGTTTCTATAGCATTACACTCAGCTAACATTCCTGTTGCATAAATTAAAATTATTATGTACCCAGAATATTATTCATAAATGTTGGTTAGTATTTTTTTTTCTATATAAAATCCAAATGCCATTTACAAACACCTATACCATGAAGTTTTAATCGGGAATCAGAGGAGCTTTGGTAAAATTCACCTAGCTCATAAAGGCTCTGATTTTGTTTTTCTCTGATAAATTTTATGCTCCCTCTGACACCCCTTGTAGCAAGAAACTATGATATTCCACATTACAAATTTTCAATCAGCAGGTAGAATTATATTCAAAACCAAAAGGCGTTTTCTGCATTGTGGAGGTATTTGTTCTAAATTTCATTTAAATATCCTTCTTTAAAAGTTATGGGAACTACGAATAAATACAATCCAAGATATAACCAACAATAAGCAGTAAAATGAACGAAAAGTTTTATTATTTAAAATGAGAGTGAGGATAAATATAAACATTTCTACATGCTCAACTTGCTTCTGTTTGGCTGTTTTTTGCCTATAGTCTTGGTCATCTTTCAACTGTTAAGGCTGCAAAAGCCATCAGCTGATATGTACTCAAATATACTAAAAATGTCATACATTAATATAAGACTTAATTTTCTGCTACTATCAAGAAGAAGCTGAAAGCACCATGAATCTGATAAATAAATTATATATTAAGTACTCTATATGGACACCTTACTAAGTGTTTTATGTTATTGGAAAAAGATAGCATCTGACTTTATGGTAATTTCCTATTTAGAAAGCACTTTGCTGTCCACAGGAATGCAATTCCCTGCAAAGAACTGTTTGCTTTACATCCCTCTGAAATTAAACATATGTACTGTAAGGTTTGTTTAAATTATATTTCTGGTATTTTTCTAACAAGGTATTTAATCTAATGGAGCAGCCCATTTTGCAAACATGATCCCAGTTTTACCCCCAAACTCCCTATATTTGGTATAATTATTTTTTTTAAAAAAAAATTATTATATATCCTTAGTGTCTCCCACTGCTTATTTTAAATGTTTGGCTTTTCAAAAGCAAACAAAAAATGCAACATACTGCTAAGCTTCAAGAGATTTGTACAGAAATGTTCATATTGCCTCTGAAAGCCTTTAAATCTCTGAACCACAGCAGTGTGAGCATTGCTCTGAGTGCAGCGCTGCCCCAAAGTCAGTCACCCTTTTCTATATGTGCTAATAAGTTTGATTTTGGAAGGACAATGTGTACATTCCCTAGACAGGCAAAGCGTGTGTGAAACACGCTAGTCCATGCTGAGCTACTCAGTGAGCTTCAGCAGGGACAGGACAAGCTGAAAATGGCTCTCATGTCTTGTGGTCTTTCAGACAAGAGTGTTAACTCCTTCACGACCAAAAAAGGGTTCTCATTTTGATAGTGGTGCATACAGGAATGAAGAAAAAAAGAACTAATTAAATTTATAGCAAGAAGATCAAAACTGCATACATTAATTGGATATCATAATTACTGAAAAGGTTGGAGGCTATCAAGGAAAACAATGATTTCCAATTGTATTACTGCCATAATATTACATCTTGAAACTACCTAATTCATGCAGTGTATTTTCATTTCAGTGCAATTAAATGCAAAATTAGAAAATTTCATCACCCAATCAGCATGCATGCACAATTGCAAAATAAACACAGAGATATTCAGCATGGTACAAAACACATTCATTAAAAAATAGTTCTGTTTCAATGCTTTAAAAAAAAGAGAGAAAAATAAGAAGGGGGGGGGGAGAGAAAGCTGAATGTCCCCTAAGGAGTTAAAACAGGACTACTATATTTTCATGCATCTCCTGCTTTGACAGATGAAAAATGTCAACTGTCCTGTTTTTATTTTCAAGCTTTTGCACTATTCATCTGGTTCATTAGTGCATCTTGCTGCTGCCCCTGACAGCTGCTCGCCCTCTCCTCCCAGCAGCTGAATTTTTCAGGCTAATTTGATCCTCCACACTGAGACGATCGCTAGAATGATTGACTTGCTCCCTGACCTCCAGGGTCTGACTTTCCTGATTAGTATTCTAGGGGTGTCTGAGGGACGAAAGCCCACTGTCTGTCTTCAGGGCTGGTGGCAATGATCTCCCCCACCATCTCTATCGCTCGTTCTCTTTTTTTGGAGGGGGGGGAGAGGGGACTGTAAGCCACCAACCTACGACCCTGTAAGGATGCAATTACTGTGCTGAACAATAAAGGAAATGTGTAATATCTACTTTTTCATGTAAAGGTCCATGTAGTGGAAGCATGGCATGTTGATTTTAATTAGTAAAGTCTACCTTGTTGCATATCAATTAACACAGGGTGATTAGAGTATTTTGAATTGTTGTTTTTTAAGCATTTCCAGAATATTTGAAAGTCTAATTTTCTGACTGTAAAATTAACCTTCAACAACAACAAAAGGTTAAGGAAATAGTTAAGGAAAGAGAGCAATTTTTAACAAACTGTAAAACCAGCCTTCTCCAATCTGGTGTCTTCCAGATGTGTTGTAACTTCCAACTTCTAGAATTCCCAAGCAGCAACTCTGGGCGTTGCATTCTGAACACATCTGGAAGGCAGCAGGTTGAGGAAATGACATCTCATAGAACAGCAGTGAATAGAAAGCACACTTAATTTTAGATTCAGCTAAAGTCCAACCAAACTGTTAGCTATTAATATTAACATTCAAATAAAATATTAGCTGAAAAATTATTTATTGGGAAGCTATGTAATCTAGGAAAATCTCATGCACATGCAAAAATAAAATTCTTATTGCAAGTTCAAAAAATAATATAAACCAATGGAACTAATATAACTACTTAGAGTTCCTTAAAATCATTTTATGTTGAATATATTGAACAAGTGAAGAATAAATTTAAATATTAAATTTGTACCATAATTAAGTTACAATATTCATGTTTCTCAATCCTCCTATTATTGGAGCTATATTGAATAAATCTTACTATTCTGTAAACTGCCTTACAATTACTTCATTTTTATTACAAAACTAAGGGTCCACAAATTCCTGTTTTTATAGAAACAACAGCTGAATGGATCTTGAGTGAGTGAAAACTAAGGGAGTGAAATAAAATTATGACCACTTATAATGTAACATAACATTTCTTTTTTATTTTGCTACACAATATGCCATTAATGTGCCCCAATCTTTAATTTGTTTGCTAAATTTTAAGGAAAGTAGAAAAATTTAATTGTTTAAAACACGATCTTACTATATAACGATAATTATATATCAAAAAATTAGGTAACATGGCAACTGTGAGAAAGAAAATAATGTAAATACAAATCCTTGTTACTATTTACACAAATAGTACAATTATACAAATAGCAGCATCACAGAAAAATAGGTTTTTTTAAACAAATCTCAGTTTAAGATATAACTATTAATAAATCTCCAAAAGAATTCTCTCATTAAATGTGCTTTCTGTATACATGAGTCTGAGAGAAAATAATTTTAGCATTGAATTGTTTTGTTTTGTTTAAAGAAAACCTTGCTATAGTTCTCAGAAAATCCTAATATTGTAGGATTTTTTTTCCTTGATAGAGAGCTTTGCTGAGTTCTGCTGAGTTCACTGCAATGAAAGTGGTTTGCCAATTCACCTTGCAGCTGTATTACAGAAACTTTTCTAGAGAGCATTTGAGTGAAAGACTGCAAGCCAATGAGTAAAATTTTTAGAGCTTGTTGTAAACATCCAGAAGGTTTTTGGTAGAATTTGGTTATCTTGCTGATCTTGCTATAATTAACATTTTACAAGCTAGAATTGCAAATAGTATAAACAAACCAAATGAAGGAATATCTTTTCCTGATATTATTTTTCTATAGATCCTTTACCTCTGTATTAAAGTATTAATTATCTTGTGTTTGATTAGTTAAAAATACACAGCCCCTGATATACCATATAAAAAGGACAGTATACTAGTTTCCTAGGTGATAATCCCATTTAGCAAAGTTTGAAGATAAAGTTTAAGACTCAGAAAACAAAAGTTTAATAATTAATGAAATAATAGATGATACTACAAGTGTTGACCCGAATATGCCCTTGATAGGTCTATTTCATGTGAAGATAATGTTTTCAATTTCAAATTGCCACCTTGGCAATTAACCTTGATACTGAAAGATGAAGACCTTGAAAGAGATTATTTTGAGAAGTATATGCTCCAAATTTTGCAAATATTTATATTACATTCTCTTTATATTTTGAGCTAAGGTAAATGTGCAAATTTCACCATAAATATCTGTAAAATGTAGAATTCTTTACTTTCACCTAGTACTAATTTATGGAATGAATATTCAATAGAATCATAACACAAGTAGAAAAACATTTTGATCAACAAAACATATCAACAAATTATGCTCATTAAAAGTTGTCAGTATTACCTCATATAACAGACATCCTAGAGACCAGATATCTGATTTGAAGTTATACCCATTTTCATGGATTCTTTCTGGAGACATATAATAAGGTGTTCCCACTACAAAAAATATAAATACATAATAAACAAAAAAATTAAATAAACTTCAAGTAATGTATACTCCAACATTTGTCATGAAAAATTACTATTCAATACTTAAATACAAAAGAGTAAACTTTAGTAAGTGAAAAATTATTCCAAATAATGTAAGTTGTTTTATGAAATTAATTTCATGATAACCTATTTAAAAAGTAGCGAAGTTTCCAATAATTATCAATAAACCAGATTTTTAGCAATTTAATATTATATTAACATTACTAATGTTGTCAATCATAAACTGATAGAATTCTATATGAGTATGTTTATTTATGCAGCGCTTATTAAATAAAAACATATGTTGGTTTTATAACTAAAAGGGTTTTCCATTTTTTTTTTCCTGAATGAAACTCGCTAAACATGATTTTGGTATGTTTGCATCCTATCTTAAAAGCATAGCCAAAATCCAATACCATCTTTACATTATTTGAAATAAGCAAAAAATGTTGTTTTAAAGATAATCAATACATCTTTTAAAAGGAAATGGTATCCTCATGTTACTGAGGCAAAATGTTTTTTTTTAAATAAAGACTTTTTCCTAAAAGTATGGATTCATTTGTATGGGGATCTGTATGTCTATCTATAATTACTTTTAAATCATTCTAATATATGCCAACTCATAAAACAATAACCAACTGTACTTAATAGAAACGGAAATGGAAAAACATACAAAAGACAGAAAAGTTTAGTAAGGCATATATCATCCTATTCTAAGAGATATTTCATATGGGATAGCAACCTGAATAAGGTCTCTTCTAAAGCACATACACCTTGGAATATTGATTCATTATTCCAGTTTCAGAAATAATTTTGTACATATCTGTATAACTATGTATCTAAATTTTATTTCTACGTAAGTTGAAATGTATTCAAAATTATTTACATTTCCAAATTGATAATGGATGAATTTGTTTTTAAATAAGTATGGAAACATTTCAAATCAAAATATTGCCACAGAACAAAACTTGTAATGTACAGTATCTTGAAATATGTTGAAGTTGTAAAAAATGATAATTTAGAATAAACCTTTTCTCTTGCTTTTCATGTCACAGCCTTATAGCAAATCCTCATAGCAAGTAATACAAACTACAGTTTTAGGACCTTTTTGAAAAGCGACAACCTCCCACAAAGTAAAAACACAAATTAAGGAAAAAAACCTAACTCACCAAAACCAAACAAATGAAGTTAACATTTTTGCCCGTGCTTCTAAAATACATTTTTAATTATGCATGACCTCATCATACACAGGTGAGGCATCAATAAGCCAAACACACCAATATAGTAGAACCTTTAATTTAAATGCATTTTAAAAACAAGAGACAAAAATATACTCTGAATGTAAGTTGTAAACACACCAAATCAGTAAGTCTATTATTTGCATTAAGAACTTATTATCTAAACTTTCAACATCAGCAGCACTTCTGTGAAGCATGATACCGTAGATCAAGAGTATCGAACTCACATCATCACAGTGGCATCACGTGACATATTGGGACTTTCCTCCCTTCATTAAACCAGGCGTGAGTGTGGCCAGCGTATGATGCAGCCGGCCTGCGGACCGGGAGTTTGGCAGCCCTGCTGTAGATATAAACTTCTGCATTTACCTAATGGTTCTTTATGTGGATTTCATTATAGCGTAAGTACTCCACTTTTTCTTTCCAGGTAAATAAGAAGTTGCAACTAAAGTTGATTTCCTTAAGTCTGGACAGGAAATTGCTATCCAGAAAAAAATTTAAGTTAATATTATCTGTGTAGTAAGACTAGTCTCAGAGCAGTCTCAGATCCAATACACTCTGCATGATCAAATGAATCAATGACTGCTGGCCTTGTGCTTTTGGAAGAAGGGACCACAGGTGGATGGATAAGAACAGCTCCTGAATGTTTTAGCGAGTTAAAACCTGACTCAAGTGATTCCTAGACTGAGACTCCTAGCGTCCCAGTGGATATCACTCAAATGTTGTGAAGTAGAAATTATGCTTGAATCATTTAGGAAAGGGAAGGATTGTCTATCTATGATTTATTGAAGTTTGCTATTATTTTCAGGACGGCATTCATCCAACTCTAGGCAGAGGGAGGTGGCTGCCAAAGATTTGGAGGACAAGGTAAGAGAGTAGCCTTCAACCTGTTTTCAATACCTGTTTTTTCAGGTAGTGCAGGCAGAACAGATTCATCTGAGGAAGATGAATTAGCCATCAAGTCAACATCAAGCTGTGGGCAGAGTGACAACATATCAGGTGCTCAGAAAGGATAACCCTCTCTTCGCAGTAGCACTGATAGGTGGGCAAGATACACTGTTTGTGTAAATCAGGTCTATCTGCATGACTTCTTCTGGTTCACCAACACAGTCCAAAAACTGAGCTACAACTAAGCAGACACTTTTCTCCCTAGCAAGGTCTGATATGTGGAGATACTCAAACAAGGGTCAATAAGCTTATGCTCATCAATACTAAAATCAGGGCTCTGACTTAAAACTGATTCACTAAAAGACAAGAAGCTGCCACATTCAGCAGATCAAAAAGGTATAGGCCCCCTGGCTATTTCAAATCCTTTCATATTTTTGATGCTGTGTCAAAAACTCTCCAACAAAGAAGCTCAGAAATTTAAATAAACTGCTGGAATTTAGGACTTAGCATTTTGAAAAGGCCACCTATCCAATACATCTCTACTGATGAATTGTCCAATTATGTTGTTGTGTTCTGATTAAACTCTAATCATGCATATTGCTTCACAAGAAGAAAAAATAATTCTGATTTCTCTTTTTCAAGAGAATTGCTGAGAAAAAACTTATCAAAGGTCAGCCTAACAATGAGGTTTACAGGGTTGTACTTTATCAAAAGCAAAAGTACATTTTAACCAATCATTCTCCAAAACCTATTATTACATCAAAGGAGTGAGAAGGTATTGGTAATACACAAAGAAGAGAACAAATGCTTACATTTTGCAGAATTTAACTCAAAATGCCCCATTGGCGCTTAAACACTTTTCGTGCGCAGATTGGAAGCTTTGTTTGCATGCTGATGGGGCGTTTTGAGGTGGTAAAATGGAACCACCTCAAAGCACCCTATCAGCGCTGAAATACTTTTCGCTTGGAGACTGGAAGCTTCTTGTGGCGACTTCAGGTACCCACTCACTTTTGCAGAGAATGAGTGACTGAAGTTCTGTGAGATTAGGGCACCCAGAAGCTTCCAGTCTACACGCAAAAAATGTTTGCTCACCAACAGGAGGCTTGAAGCAATGTGATTTCACTGCCCCAAAGCCTTCCATTGGCATGCAAATACTTTTCTGCATTGAGACTGGAAGCCTTTGGAGGAAACTCATAGAAGCTGCCTACTGTTTCAGGTAACCTGGAGCGGTAGGTAACCTTGGTAAGTCAACCTTGGTGAGTCAGAACAGGGTATGCTCGTCCTGCTTTCCCTCTGCTCTCAATAGTCCACTTTTGGAGCACCAGGAGCAGGCAAAAAAACCACAGCAGAGAGACTGGAGAGGTAGACAGCTTGCTAGATCTTTGCAAGTTAAATAAGTCTCCACAGGCCTGCCTGTGGAGACCTGGCAGAGGCAGGAGGGAGAATAGGTAGAGCGAATGTTGCAGTGCCTCTGTGGTTGTTTGTAAGGATAAACGACTGCCGTGGTGCTGCAACATTCGTAACCTCAGGACTATGCCATAAGTACTTGGGGCAGGGGGTTATGTTGCAACTTTGAATGGTCACTAAGTGAACTGTCATAAATCGGGGATTACCTATATATAGGAAATCTTGACAAAAGGGGATCTTCTCTTGCTTTGAATCTCACTGCATCAATAAACACATTTTTTGTGGAAGTAATAAGTCTCTACCATAGGCTGCATTAATCAAGCATTCAAACCAAAAATAAAGATTGACACATTCAAAAAATGACATTGTTTGGAAACTAATCTATTAAAATCCCATTCAACAAGCGCTATCAAAATCAGTCATAAGCGGCTTAATTTTGAATGAGCATTTTTCAATCCACAGAAATTACATATATTTATCAATTAAACATATTTTAATCTATATCAACGGACAGCTGAAATTCTTTTAATTAAAAATACATCAAATAAAAGGTTTGCCACATATACAGTACTCTAGATATATAACGTCAACTTCCACTTTTAATTATACATACAAAGAAATCTTTCTTACCTAGAGAATGTGCAGCTGTGGTTTTAGAGCTGAAAAATCTTCCCAATCCAAGATCTCCAAGTTTTACTACTCCTGTAGCAGTAATGAATACATTTGCTGGCTTGATGTCTATAAGAAAAAAAAGAATACTGTGTAATACCATATCTTTAATAGAAAAGAAGTCCATTATTAAATATTATATTAAGTATTATGGTTTGATCAATGTTTGTTTCCTTCTTAAAAATACAACAAAAATATTTTAAATTATTTGTTTCATCTAGTGATTAAGACACCAAGCTAAAGACCAGGAGTGTGAATTCTAGTCCCGCCTTAGGCATAAAAAGTCTAAGTTCACTGCCTTATGTTATGGCAAAAGGTGAAATATCCATATTTAATACATATTCATTACAAGATACTCTTATTTCTTCTTGGCTGGACTTCTAGTTATCTAAGAAACAGAAAGAACTGAAACTGAAATTAAGACAAGGTAAAAAAAATTGTAACAAAATTTACAAAATACACTACAGTCCATTTGAAGCCCTATTCTACGATGGAGAGGAAATCTTACTTATTCAATCACTGTAACTATAATCACACTTTCCAGATATGTTAATGAGATATTATGACTTAACTCTCATCAAATTTCTGTCCTCGATGACAGTTACCTTAACTACCAATGGATAAAACTGCTCACAACCATGCTCATTTAGATGAAATTTCTATATAAGAGCAATCCATAAGAAATAATAATTAATTTTCTGCCAGTGGTGCCACCAATGACAAGGAAAAGACAATCTTTGCTGCATCTATGGCCAATGATGGAGCAATTACAGCAAGTATGCTTTTCATCTTTCTGCAAAAAAGAAGTTGGATCTAAATGCTGACTGTTGGTTTAAGAGGTATAATCTGGCCTCCATCCACTAGCCGCAGATATCATCAAAAGGGCTTTTGGATTTTGTATGTGTATATTCATTTGCACAGATTGAAATGTTTCAGTTTTTGGAAGTGTTACCTGTTTTGTATAGGCCGCCCTATGTAATCAAAAGGCAAATCTTCAAGATACATAAAAATAAGAATCTACCATACATGAAACAGCATGCATATGAATGTAGATTACTTATTTTAAGTCAAATGATATTGTATACACATAGACATACATGTTTGTAACTGATTGAGGCAGCCGATAAACCTCATTAAAAAAATAAATGAAATATAACTAGAGCCGATAAACCTCATTAAAAAAATAAATGAAATATAACTAGAGAATAGAAAATATGCTAATGATATTTAAAAAAAAGTACATACATAAAATGTCTTTTAGTTGCCTATTTTAACAAATATGAACAACTGGAAGAGGCCATCACTTGTCTTTGTAGTTCATGTAATATATACAGCAGTCCCCACATTTGTACAACAATAGTTGGGATGAAATGCAATTTATTACCTCGATGCATGACACGCCGAGAATGCATATGTTCCAAGGCACTGCACAGCTGAACAAAGTATTTCCAAACTGTCCTTTCCGGGATCAGCCTCTTCTGCTTCTTAAAATGCTTTGAAATAATAAAATAATACTGCAATCTGGATTTGATATTCAGTAATGATGCAGAAGATTATTAAAATGAACAAGCTTTCAGCTTTTCAATCGAGAAATCATTAACACAAACAACTGAGGAGGCAGGACCATGTTTAACAAAGAGAGAGATGGTTCCTCAGGGATGCGCTTTGGATAAAAAGAACAAGTATCCACAAAAACAGCTTGGACCAAAGGAAAAGTCTGATAGGTCAAGATGAGACTGGGAACTTATGTGTAACTTAAGATGAACTCTTACTTTCACAGGTGATAAGCCCTCATTTTGTTATGTCTATTTTCTCCTCGATTCCAATGAATCTAATTAGATATCAGATAATGGCTTAGAATAATATGAATGACACAGACTCACACAGTCTCCTCCTGCATTCTTCAGAACAACAGCATTTAAGAAATAAGTTGCTGTTTCAATTTTTAATTAGTCATAATTTAACATTGTTTCTGAAACTTAAATTGATTAATCTTAATAATCATCGGTTTAGATTACATAGCATCATAAACCATGATTTAATCTACACTGTGATTTAAGTCTAGCCAGTGTTGCCCCAATTCTTTTTTGTTTTATATATATTTAATATATATATTGCCCTTCCTCCAAGGAAGAAGAAATGCTTCCTCCAGTATTTTTCTTCAACACTCCTGGAGGAACAGCTTCAGCCGAAAGAAAAATGCAGTTCAATCTGTCCGTATACAAATACCAAAATGATTCTCATTAGATAATGTTTAAAGTGCACCTACTTTGGCTACATGTATGTTCATTTACATATGTACAGAATATGTATACACATATAAGGAAGTGAATGAAAGACTAAGTAGTGAAAGATCAACTTAACTCAAAAAAGTTAAACTGTGAAATAGGGCTCTTTGGGAAGTCCGTCTGAAACTCAAACTAAAGAAGTTTTGCGATTCAGAATTCAGAAGTGCACAAAAGAGTATCTGAAAAATATTTTCCTCAATTTTTCCATTAGGAAAATGGCAAAAGAGAAAAATCTGAAAGTGGAAGGATGGGAGTAGAGACTGTCTGATCATAACTAAGTTTTACTAAGAACCTTCAATAACAGCATTTCAGCAAATATTATTCAGTGATTTATTCCAAAAACGTTTGTAAGAATCTATAAGAATCATGAGGATACTTGATTGCTTGGAACTGCTGGATGTTCATACCTTTTCATTGCTCTCCATCCATCATTTAAGCCATTCCACTCTGCTTTCTATGACTTCAATATTTACTAAGAAGAGCAACAAAGAACCTTGAATTTTATTTATTTATTTATTTAATTTATTTATTTGATTTGCCAATTGTTTACAAGATAATAAGTATAAGTGTATACATAGTTGTGAATACATGAAATGGGTACATATAAGAAAAATAAAAGAATAAGAGAAACAATAGGACAGGGACGGTAGGCACGTTGGTGCGCTTATGCACGCCCCCTTTTTTATTGTTTTTATTCATTGTAGTTTCCTTTTTCCTGCATCTGGTACAGGCCAGATCATGGTAGATAAACAATCTAAGCATTTTGGCTACTCTTACATAACTAGTCGGTTTGGTCTAGTGGTTGAGGCACCAGGCTAGAAACCAGGAGATAATGAGTTCAGATCCCAACTTAGGTATGAAAGCCAGTCAGGTGACTTTAAGCTAGTCATTCTCTCTCAGCCCAATTTACCTCGTAGAGCTGTTGTTGTGAGGAAGATAGGAAAAAGGAGTATTATGTATATTTGTCCCTTTATTTATAAAAATAATAAACAAAAAAAATCTAAAAATACACCCCCAAGGAGTTTTCACTCAGGCCCACCCATTTCTTTCTTAACCAATTAAATAAACCAAGCTTTGATCATAATCCAGATCTGAATGGAGGTTTAATGGTTTGATCAAATTAGTTTTGAAGGGAATCTTGTTAGTTTGGCTTGTGGCAAATGAAACATTTATTAGTGGGTAAAAGAAAGAGTAGTAGGGAGAAAGTTTCATGCAATAGAAAACAAAAAGATTCAATCCTGTAACACCCCTCAGTTGGCATTTGAAAGAGCAAGAGAATGATATTGTGGCTGCACTTTCCTTAAGACAAGCAGCAGCATAAAATATTTAAAAGTATTTTATATTTATTTTAATATCATTTCCCTTTACAATTTTTAAAAGCTCAAATGAGGCAATTAAATGCCAGTTCCTTGAATGGTGCCATTGCTGAGACCTGGATTGAATCCAAACAAATTCTGTGAACTGTTGTCCCTATAGCTCAGATTTGCATATCAGAGAATTGTTTGATGTTGACAAGAAGACAGAGACCAGAATTCTTTTTATATACAAGTGAATACACAGCTTCAAGAATATGAATATAAAGCGTACTTCTTTGTTTTTAAAATTATCCCTGAAGATTTTAGATTGTACATCTAAATAAATTTCCCTAAAAACAACAACCCCTTACAAAATGCTTACCTATCTGGATATCTCATCCCTTGTTTACATCTTTAACAGTATAATATGCACTTCTGCATTTGTATTTGTTATCTGGATTCTGCTTTGTGTTTATTTGTGTTGGGATACTGCATGGAACACAATCACTGTTAACCGCCATTCAGAATTGGGTATAGTAAATTAGCATTGTGGTAACTCTAGTCACACAGAAACACAACACCAGATATCCATTTGTTAACAAAATTTCTAAATCTTTATTTGCCTGACCTGAATGGAAAATGTTTAAAAAAGATTGGCATGGTTACTTCTTTAACCTGCTGTTGGATCAGGAGACAAACTTAATTTGAGCCAAAGGAGGCAACAGCATCTTACTTGAAAGCATGATGCTAACTTGGACATCAGTGCACACAAACTTAACATTTGTAGATAGTTCTCACTTAGCAATAATTTGTTCAGTAAATGTTTGACATGATGATGGCGCTGAATTAGGAGACTTACAACCAGTCCTTGAAGTTGTGCCTGTTGCAACATCCCCACAACTTGGGAGCTTGGCAACCAGTGCATATTTATGAAGTCGCAGTGTCCCATGGTCATGTGATTATCATTTGCAACATTCACTGCTAGCTTCTGATAGGCCAAATCAATGGGAAAGCTGGCAGGAAATTGCAAGCCATGGTCACATGACATTTTGCTTAATGACTACATGAAATTTGCTTAATGACAGGAACTGCCAGAAGTGACATCATAAATTGGTAAAGTCATGTGCTCTCTCGCTTTATGCCTGTGTTGCTTAGCAACAGAGTTTGCAGTCCCAATTACTATTGTTAACAGAGAACTATCTGTACTTCCATCTTTGTACTTGAGTGGCTACTAGTGATGCAGCTAAGAATAATTTAAAATAGACTGAGCAGAGACAATAAGAAAATCGATTTCACTGACTGCGACAATACAAAATTTAAATGACTATGCCATTTACAACAAACTAACCATCTCCCTTCATTTGTTTTAAAGATAAAATCAACTGCATCCAATTAAAACAAATAAACACAGAACACCACAACAGAAAAATCCAAAATCTGATCTCATAAAGGAATATATAGAGCTTAGTAGAAGTTTTAACAATGAAGGCATACTTCGTATGGTTTTATGTTTGATTCCTGGCATCATCAGACAGAGCATCATGGAAACAATATACTTTTTTGATCCTATAAGAATACTCTTAAAAATCTCCAATGTTTCAATTTTTAGAAAGGTTTAAAAAAATGATCAACCATAGCATGATGAACAGTGGAAATGACTGATGAATTAATGTAACTCTGTTATTAGGAAAAGTAACATGATTTGGTAAAATATCTCCATTGTAATAGTAGAAGCTGGAAACTAAGTGGTCAGAGATTTGGGATAGATGGTGATAGATGACTGCCTGACCTAGCATATCATTAAAATGTAAAAAAAATGGTACCTTTGATTTAAGCTAAAAATTTTGGAAGAAGAAAGCAGCTTAATGGCACTTGACCATCAAGTACTGTAAACCATTCCTGCAAAAAGCAAGAATAACTCAGTGAGTACACTCCATCTATCACAGGCTTTGAAACACAAACTGGAAAAAACCCAGGAACACTGTGAGATATTTAAGGGGACTTCTCTAACTGATACCCTGCAGATGCATTGAGGCTTCCTATCTGGAGAATACCAGGTCACAGAATATTGATTAGCAAGACAAAGGAAATCTGGCAACCTAGAGAAGCCAATTTAAATGAAAATATGCTGAGAGTTCTAAAGAGGATAGTTCTTTAAGACAGGGGGAAATGTGGCATTTTTGCTAGAAATTAAGTGGATTTTCTTGAGTTGAAACCCTGCAACATGTGCAGGGAAGGCAAGGGGGTCAAAATGGGAACAGTATTATTGCATGAGTCCCATTTTTTTGTGTGTTCTTTGTAACACTGCACAAATGCCACCAAAAGGGTGAAAATGGCAATCACAGCACTGCTGTCGTCATTCTGAACAAAACAGGAAGATCATTATATTAAGAGCAGACAAAAGGGTTGGAAAATATTCCTTTTGTGGGTGCGATGCGGGCGGAACGCCGATGGCGATCCACGATCGTTCTGACTGCTTCCTATCTCAAATTGCAGTCAGATCTTGCCACTGAGAGCAATTTAGGGATTCTAGCAAAACGGAGTTTTTGAAAACTATCCAAACCTCAAAGTTGTTCCTGCTCCGGCCAAGGAAAGCTGCCTATCGAACCAAAGGCTGAGCTAAAACTGGGGAATGCTAGCGAGGAGTCAGGAAGGAGTAAGAGCATCCTAACAATTAAACCCAGCCTATCCGAGCAGAGACTAAGCACCTCCCTCACTCTCTGGATGCTCGGAGTAGCTCAATGGAGAAATAGTATATTATCTACTCTGCCCACAAATCTCTTTGAAAGAACAGCTATTTAAAATAAAACAAAATCTAAAAAGCTGGCCTAATAAAGACACAAAAATCAACATCAAACAATAATTAGAGATAGTTTCAGAACTCTTAGCAACAAATACACAAGTAAACAA